AAAAAAATCGCGCCAAGTCCATGTTCATAAGACTATTAAGAAAAAAAAATTAGTTTTTTTCTTTACAAAAAGATATAAAATAAAAAAATTAAAAAATCAAGTAACCGATATGATTGTTTATGATTTTCGGAAATTAAAAAAAATTTTTTTGTAAATTTAAAAATTAAAAAAACAATTTTGGAACGTACTTGGTGTGCGTCATATTGTGCATTTCAATTTTTTTAAAGTCCTAATAAATAGATTTTACGAATTTAATTAAAAGTAAAATATTTCGCAACAACGCACACTAAATACGTTAAAAAAGTTAATTAATTAATATTTTACAAGGATTTTTTTTTTTTTTCTTAAAGTATTAAAATAAAAATATATGGCATTTGATCATCATAATAAAAAATTACGCAATTAATTGCGCAGTGATTATAGCTTTAAAAAAATATTCTGAGTTTGTTTACAACGCAACCGGCCATAAAGCGGTCAAAAATAACTAGCATACAATTTGAGAGTGAGTGCATTTCATCATTAATTTTGTGATATTTATCGGCATAATATAAAATATTTTAGTTTTATTATGTTAATTAAAGATTAGATTCCAACTTTTTTGAAAAAATAAAGTTAAATTATAAGTTTTAATATTATTTTAAGACCGGTCAACTATTGGATCCGTCAGAAGCCCTTTACCCAGTAAAAAATTCATTCGGTCATTTATTAGACCCTTTGATTTTATCACAATCCAATTAATAACCGTATATTTACGATTATATCAAACGATTATATCAAAGAACGAGTTATTAGAAGAAAAAATTGCTAAGCAATTAAAAAAATAAAAAAGAGTTACAAGCTAGTAAAAAAGCTTTAATTGAAAAAAAGAAGGAGAAGAATAAAAAACTTTCAAGTGAATCAGAAGAATTATCGTCATAAAAATGAATTTGTGATTATTTGTGACCTAAAGAAATGTGACTTTATGTTAATTATTGCTATTATTTATATTTTTAGTATTTATAAAAAAGTACGATTTAAAATTATATTGTATGTTTAGTTTTGTTAAAGATGTCGTTAATACTTCAAAAGTACTGAAAAGTATTGGTGATTTTAGTATTTCAAGATTCAAGTAACAAAATTAATATAATTTTGTTATAAATAGTTATTAATTATTATTAATTAAGTATTCAACTTTAATAAAATCCATTACAAATTGTTTTTAGTAGGTTAATAGATTTTTTATAGCTTAGTACCGAAAAAGGAAACCTTAATCGGTCAATAATTGGTGCATTTACCCTATTACTTTTAAAGTATTAATTTTATTATCTCATTTTTAACTGAATACTCTTTGATTTTATTTTCATTATATTTTTATTTTATTAATTTGTTAATTTTTAGTCAATTATAGACGTTAATATATTATTCTTACTATGAATAATGTTTTTATATTTTGATCAATTAAATAAAAAATTTTTTACTTACATTGTTGGTGAAAATGGCTTAATCGATTTTAAAAATTCAGATGTAAACAAATCAATTTTCTCGTCAGCAGAATTATCGTTTGAATTCTTATTTCCCAGACCACTTTTTTTATCTTTTTTTGACATTGTAAATTTGAATAATTAATTAATATCAATTGATCACCTCGTTCTAAATGAATATTTCCCGGAATGTATTTATTTTATAAGCCTAAGCTTTAGTTTATTAGTATATCGACACCTGGATTCGTTTCATTTGTTTTTGCATGACGATTTTATTATATTAAAAAATTTTGATTGAAAAACATAAATAGTCTAATGGTTAATTGAATTTTTATCTGCATATATAACTATTAGGATGGTTCATTTTCGCAAAAATTTTTTTTTTCGCTGCTCATGCAAAATATTAATCTACATATAGATAAAAAATTCTCACAAAGTTTGAGCCCTTAATATTAATTTTAAGTACTTATAATTTAATATTAAAGTTTTACTATTCAAAATGCATATAAAAAAATCTATTTTCTTTTAAATTTCTAATGCTTACCCGGCTTTTACAATATTGCAAAACGGTTTGATGGACCTTGTGGGGAATTTCACGCTCTTCAAAATAGCCTTGGAGTTTTTTTGTGTAACTCGCACTGGTTCACTAGTAGGAGTCGTCAAAGTACAGTTTTTGAAAAAAATATATTTTCTTTTAATTTTTCGAGCAAACCGCCAAAAGTAGGAAGAAAAAAAGAACTGACTGATAAAAAAAAAGTTATCCGACCAATATTTAATGAATTTACAGCCATTTTTATACCGGAAAATGTAAGAAATTGATAAATACTAATTCAAAATTCATAATGTTATTTATTTTTGTTTTTTTTTAATATTTGATTATTTTTGATTAATTATTGATTTTTTAATGGATAAAAGATGACAGTAGTGAATGAATCTCATAATTTCTTATAGTTTTAATATTTATACCAAATTGCATATATTTTGCTAAATTATACTTAGAGAACTAATTTTTTTCTATTCTTTAAATATAATATATAGGAAAATATTAATTTTCTGACTGAAGTTTGACATATATTAAAGTTTTTTTGTTATTTTCTAAGTTCACTATATAACTCGTGAGATTTATTAACATTAAATCTATAATTTATTGTTAAGAAAGATATTACGAAGAAGTTGACATTTAATGAACAATAAACTTTTGTATTACAATAATTATAAAATATTTAAGAAAAATATATCATTAAATTTTTATGAAAAAGACGATTATTAAAACATTGATGTCTATTATTTGATAATAATAAATTACACGTCTGTTTATTTACAGAAATATAATAAGGTATGAATTAATTTTATTCAATTATAGATAGTGGTTATAGTTAATATTTTTTACTTCTAACGAAGAGAAACCATTAAAATTCAAACCGTTAATTCAAAGCGTTAAAAAAAAAATTGGAAAGTTATTGATACCACCCGGTTTTTGAAAATTGAGTTTTCATAAAATCGTAAGGTTTTCAAGTATATTTGGTAGCTTTTTGATTGGTAATAGAGTTAAACAGTACTTTTCACCCATATTACATAAAGAAGTAGGTTATATGAAACTTAATTCTCTTAAATATATCTTCAACCTCTAGAGTTTATTTTATATACTTTGAAAGTAATGTGTCAGGGGGGTAATACTCAGTCGGTAAAGCAGATTTGTGGTTTCGTCTCCATGCTAAGTACCGTCTGTCGATATGGGCGACCTGTTATTACCGACAGTAGGTGTTGCCGTGGATATGGATGACATGTTTTACCGGCATTTTGAGGTTATGGACGAGGTTTTTTATCGACTTGGTTGTAGGTGGCGCTGGTGGGGAATTCTGCCGCCATTTATGAATCTATCCGCCATTTTCCCGCCATTTTCAAATCTTATTATCCGCCATTTTTTAAATCTATCCGCCATTTTTCCGCCATTTTTTTTTAAATCTATCCGCCATTCAAATCCGCCATCTGGTGGCTGCTCTCCGCCATTTTGAGTTTGCTATCTGAAATCCGCCATTTTGAGTCTGAAATCCACCATTTTGAGTCTGGAATTTGCCATCTGGTGTCTGCTATCTGAGTCAGAAATCCACCATTTCGAAGGGGCGATAATCAATCGGTAAAACAGATTTGTCTCCGTGTTAAGCGCCGTCCGTCGATGCGGTTTACCGACAGTAGGTATTGCTAACTGTAGATATTGCTGTAGTGAACTCGATATTTTGAATTCCGCCATCTAGTGGTCGCTGCCCGACCGTTGGTAAGTCCGATCTGTTTTACCGTCAATCGGTCTATGTTTTTATCCTCTGTAGATGGCACTGGTTGTAGGTGGTAAATTCTGCCGCCATTTTTTAAATCTTACTATCCGCCATTTTCCCGCCATTTTTGAATCTGACTATCCGCCATTTTCCCGACATTTTGAGTCTGAAATCAGCCATTTTGAGTCTGAAATCCACTATTTTGAATCTGATTTCCGCCATTTTGAATTTGAGTTCCGTCATTTTAAATCCGCTATCTGGTGGCTGCTATCCAACCGCTGGTATTGCTGATCTGCTTTACTGACAGTTGGTCTAGGTTTTATCGACTGTTTTTGTAGGTGGCGCTGGTGGTGAATTCGTCGTTTTGAATTTTTCTGCTATTTTGAATCTCACTATCGACTGATTTCCCGCCATTTTGAATTTGAATCTCACTATCTGCCATCTCATAGCCCCTATCTGCCATCTAATGGCTGCTATCTGCTACCTGGTAGCTGCTTTCTACCATCTGGAAGCTGCTATTTGCTATCTGGTAGCTACTATCTGCCATCTGGTAACTGCTATTTGCTATCTGGTAGCTTCTATCTGCCATCTGGTGGTTGATATCTGAATCTGGCAGCTGACATTTCGAGCTCGAAATCCGCTATTTTTCCGCCATTTTTAAATTCTGAATCCGTCATTTCAAGTATAATATCCGCCATTTTAAACCTTGATTTCCAGCATTTTTGTTAAAAAATGCGCCTGTGATCGCAGCATCAATAATAGTTGCTTAGATCACAGGTGCATTTCATTGTTTATATTCTGAAAAGATTAATATATTCAAATTGTACGTATGAGAAGTACATGCGAGAAGATACGCCATCTGTCGAGGTTTCTGTCTACTTCTAAACAGGTCTGAACCTGTTCAAGGTCATGTAACTACACAGTTTTCTTTGTTGTATTTATGTTGCGTAGCAGATGACGTCATCAAACAGGTTTAGACTTGTTTAAGATAGAGGAGTGGGGGTAACTGCGCAGTAGATGACTCATTCTATTCTAGAATTTTCTTACTGTGCAGTAGATGGCGTCATCCGATAGGTTTTGAGGTAGAGGAGTGGGGGTAACTGCGCAGTATTTTCTGCCTATATAAGCAGCTCGCCGAGAGCGTACTTCACAAAAACGAAGTACACGTCTCCAGTGAAGTACGAGCTCTTGCCAACTACAAGTTTTATTGAAGTACGAGTGCTATCTATTACTCTCAAGTGTAAGTAATCATTAATTAATTTTTAATTGTCTTATTAATTAACTTTAATTAATCAACTAATTAATTAAAATTTATTTACTAATTAATTTTTAAATATTTTACAGCTTTCAAACATGGATCTTTCCAAGCTGAATGAGGTTAATTGTTTGGTAGGAATCCTACCTGTCAAGAGAATGAATGAGTTAGAGTTCAATCGGGAGTACAAAATCAAAGGGTTAAAACAAGTTTCAACACAATA